CCAGCTTGTCCAGGTCCCTTTGGATGACATCTCGTCCTTTTGGTGTGTCAACTGCACCGCTCGGCTTGGTGTCATCTGCAAACTTGCTGAGGGTGCACTTGATCCCACTGTCTGTCACTGATGAAGATATTAAACAGCACCAGTCCCAGTACGGACCCCTGAGGGACACCACTTGTCACCGGTCTCCATTTGGACATTGAGCCGTTATCGTTAAGATGCGTGTGCCGCTAGGAATGTAAGTGTTAGGACCTCCACAAAGACCCCAATTTGCAAACTTGGGCATGAAAATGATGGGAGGGCATGAAAACTTTCCACATCAGTGATATCACTCCCATCTTCTACCAGGTAAATATACTCACTAAGGAGTGTGTAGGCAGTCCTATGGGTCACAGCACAAACACAATTCCTCACATACAGGTGGAGAAAGAGGAAGAGACAGGAATGGGCTTGCTGCTGCATCACGGAGGGCTCTGCAAGCTCTAGTGAGCAGAATCAGTGTTCAAGTGTCACTGTGCAGGGACAGATATTGGGGCTGGCCCTCTTTCCACAAAGACAGTTCCAAGTGCTCAATACCAGGGTCAACAGGAAAAGGAGGAAGTAAGAAGCTAGGCCCTGGTCTAACCATTAGTCAGTGTCAGACCTGAAGCTATAAGCCAAGAGTCTCTGGCTTCCACTCAGTCCTGTGCTCCCCTCACTGTTTCATCCCTTAGGATTTTGATACAAGAGGCTAAGCCAGAGTGCTCACTGCTGAGCGCTTTGGTATGTTGGATGCTTTGTGGAGCCTGGCTGCCTTGGTTTGGGCACTGACAATGAGATTACAGAGCCAGGCCTCTCTGGGATGAAGTGGATGATTTCTGGAGATAGGTAGCTAGAGGGTGCTGGTCATAAACATCACTCCAACAGTCTGATGTTTAGACCAAGGCTTCCCATACCTCTTCAGCTTCTCTCTTCATGCAGTGAGCTAGCAGGGCCTCTCTGTGCTCCAGCTCCCGCTCCAGATCCACCTGCGAGGGGAGCAGAAGAATCAGCACACACTGAGCCACCAAGGCAAGTGCCAGGTCTCAGGGCATCAGTGCAGCCCCCCTGCTCCATACCTGTTGGTAGCTGACCTCAGAAAGCTGCCTAAGCGTTTCATCCAGTTTGGTCTGATGCTGCTGTAAATGCCGATCCTTCTGGCCCAGTTCTTTCTGCAACACAGTAATCAAGAGAATCAACAGGACAGTGAGTAAGGCTCACAATCACCTTCCCATGGCAGGGAAGGTTATGTCATCTGCTGGGATCAGGTTCCTCTACAGGCTGACTTACACAATGTGTGTATTTCTAGCTAGATCCTAGAACTGAGTGTCAAAGCTTTTTTTGAAAAGATCGGTCAGGTGGTTGTTGCCTGGAGTCCCCGTGCCCAGCAAAGATCCACGACTGAGGCCAGACAACTGTCCCAGAGACAACAGATTCCCGAGGGATCAGTGGACAGTCAGCTGACCCAATCTAACCTGACAGGCTTCTGCACAAGTGTTAGATACTCAGCAAGCCATCACAGAAAAACCATGACAATAAGAGATCTACTGTAAAAAGCTGTGGGCAGAACACAAAGAACATCTGATTCCTCCATCTCATTACAAAGATCCATGGCTATTGCAACTTATTCACTATCCACAGTGCCAATCCTATAGGTGACAGAGTGCCAGGAAGACAGCAGTCACATTTGCAAAACAGAAGAAGCACCAAAGGCTGCCCCCAGCAAAGACCTCCACTGAAGAGAGGTTCCATTACTTTGTATTCTGCCAGTAGCTGGTTTCTCTCTTCAACCTTTCTCTGAAGGTCAACCTGCAGAAATAACACATAGATGTGAGGTAGGTATTCCTGAAGAGTTAGTGACAACTTCTTTGCCCCTTGTGCTAAAGGGTGACCTGAGACCAAATATCTGCAGAGTTCAAGGGAGCTGGTGTCTAAGGATGGCAACCTTTTGGACAGGACAGTTCCTTCCTTGCCCTTCTCTCTCCAGAGAGACACTGTACATGGCAGCTCTACCTGTCAAAGTGCCACTTGCTAACCCAGGGAGCACAATGAGGATGCAACTGTACTGAAAACATCATGGGAAGCCCCCTCCCTGTTTTCAGCTGAAGGTCTTGGAGGACAGAAAGTGTGAGTGAAGAACAGGAAACTCCAGTGAGTCTCACAGCTGGCAAGTAGACTGTGCAGTTTTTACTATGCAGAGACCTTTGACTATTTGTTCACTATCCCACGACCCCCAGAACTCTGCTGCAACCACCGACTCCACCCTGTGGCTGCTGGAGCCCTCAGGGCCACCAACCTCCTAAAATAATCTTAACCCTCAGCAGCACAGTGACTCACGTTCTGATTGTGCAATTCCTCCTTGTCCATGTTTGCTCTCAGCAGTTCCTGTTTTAGCTGAAGAACTGAAGCATCCTGTTGAATCAGTCTTTGCTGTAAAGCATCCTGGGAAAAGATGTTATCTGTAGGAAGGTGCAAGACAGAGGCAGACACCCTTCCCTGGGAAGTGAGTGACCCAGACCAGTGGTCATAACGCAGTAGGGCACTCACAGGGCTGAAGTGTTGCCAAGGGCCCAAGAGAGCAGGAGGTATACAGACACCTGCCCCGCGGGCTCTTAGCCCTTCTTGCCTTTCTCTTACCCAAAAGTGATTTCCCTGCCAACATTCTAGCCATCTGGGACAGAGGGATTTCTGTGCTTCTGCCTGAACTTCCTGCTCCAGAAGAAGCGGCCTGACAATTTGCTCTTATGGAAGAAAACAGCAGTGTCATTGGAGGGTCTTTTCAGTGGCCTACAGCTAGTGTCTCCAGCCATGCATCTGTAGCATCCAGAAGGCAGAAAGAGGCCAACGTCAGCCAACGACACAAGGAAACTTAAGATCTCTGTGTGACCTAGTTGTGCAATGAAATCCTCTCCAAAGAGGCCAAAGTCAGGACTAATTCTGCACCTTTCACTCAGTGTTACCCAGAAGGCGAGAGTGCTACCTTGGACAGCTACCGCTGTTTGCTTCCTTCACAGGAGCCTGACAGGCAGCTCCAAAAATACCTCTGCTCAGAAGTAGATTATTAGTATTCAGAACTCAAGACGGAGATACTGAACAAACAGGAGCCAAAGTTGTGAAAAATGCTGCAGCTGAAGAGGACAAGGACACCCCCATGCTCTTTTCCCTCTGCTGTCAAGAATGAGTTCACTAGGCCAATCCTACTGCACGTACCCCAAGACAGAGGGAAAAAACCCATCCACGAGAACCAAGCAGGCATCCTATGCCTCGTATTTTGTTTAGGGGAAACAGACAAAACAGAGGACATTTGACCACAATCCTACAGACAGAAATAGAACCCAGGAAATGTAACTTGTTGTGCCTGCCTTAACTGCAGTCTCTCCCCAGAGCCAGAAACAGACCACAGGATCCCCCACCTCCAAGTCCCCTAATACAACTCCCTCCACAATCTGAGATTCCTCAGAGGTGTGTGGTTGCTGCTGGCCCTACTCATGGGCTGCAGCAGGCTCTAAAGCTTTACTATTTATATTTGATGAAGTGCCCCTTTCCTTACCTTTATTCCCTGTAGGTTTCGAGCTTCTTGTTTGTATTTCAATAGCTCCTTCTGTAAGCGCAACACAATTTGATTAAATGGCATCTCGTCACCCCTTCAGAATCAACCAAAGTCAGTGTTCTCTGTCCCCAGACACCTGCTTCAAAAGAAAGCACATCCCACCTTTTCCCACAGATCAAAGAGCATGTCAGGCCCTGAGCCATTTTAATGAGTTACAACCATGACAGAACAGTTGAGCAGCTCCCTAAGCCCCTGATATTGAAGCCATGAAAGAAAAAGATTGCCAAGTCCCCCAAATCTGTCCTTCGGGGCAACATCAAATACTTCTCTCCCACCATCAGAACTGGTCCCAGAGCCAGCATCAGCAGCAAGCTGAACTAAGGCAGGTTTGACAGGGCAGGTTCTTCTTAGCTGCATTTATTTCCTACTTGAAAGATTGTTTATATTCAGACATGGCTGAAAACAGCTGTCTTGGACAAAGTTTTGAGAAGCTAGTACAACCTGGATCTCTCCAGCTTCAAGAGCATGCAGAAAAAAAATCTACTTCAGGGCTCATTTAAATTCCAGTAACACTTAGATATGTGTTTTACCAGAAACTGACTTTACCATCATTGGCTTGAGGCAAAGTGGGGAGGCAGCATATATTTTTCTGATGTTATCCCACCAACTTTTATTAACTGCTAATATGGATACAATAAACACTTCCCAGCCACGTATTCTGAGTGCTTTCCAGGTCAATGAATTATGGTCTCAGTGAAGCAGATACCTATGCTCCTGGAGGGACGGAGTTCCCACACAGCAGAATACAGGAACAGAGTTGGACCCCTAACACAATATATACCTCATGTCATCTGTTATGTTGTCCACCCCCCCATCCCTGCGCCGCCACCCCACCAAAAAAAAGTCTGCAAACATCTCTTGACCCAAAACCTCTCTTTCTGCTTCATCTGTCCCTCTCTAACCTTTAGGTCTTGATTTTCTTCCACACTCTGGTCCAGGCGACTTCGGATTATGATCTGAATGTAAAATACCATGGTTATTATTGTGCAAGACACCTGCCTGTGGCAGAATAGTGCAAAGGGCAGCGTGATCAGAGAAATGTAGGTACAGCAATGTGCTCACCAGCTGCTCTTCGGGGCAGGCTCCACGTTCAGAAAGTTCAAAGGACCCTTCCTGCTCATCCTCAGGTAAAGACCCATTGAGCAACAAAGCCTGGGAAGATGAAGGAAAAAAACCTCCTCTTCAGGGGTTTCAAAGGAAAATAGGGTAGCTGCAGCTCTGGCTAACAGTCATTCATATCAACAGTCTCTAAACAGTTTCATTTTCCATTTCTGCTGACTTATTTCTCTAAAAAATTTTTCAGGAATGGACAGAAGATTTAGCCCCTGAAAAAGCTCTCCCAGAGATATGTCAGCTAATACTCTTCCCCACAGAAAGACACCAAACAAGGACAACTCAGATTTTCAGGGAGTGAAGTCTGTCTCAGGCTTCAGTCCAAGGGTAGCCTTCACTACAGTAATAGATTTGAAGTCTAAAGTGGAGACTGAACCAGGTTTACATTGTAAGGCTTCTCTTCTGGAATGAGACTGAAGTGTCCCCTGCTGAAAGAAGCCATTCTCCTAACCACACATCTGCAAAAGACTTTAGAAACAGGATGTTTACAGAAGCCTAATTCTGTTCCTACACTAGACAAGACCGAGACACATTCAGAACTGTTGTCCAAGTGAGGGAAGAGCCCTCACCCACACAGACAGTGAAAATCTTAAGCTATGCCCTGTGCTTGAGGAAGGCTACAAGAAGCACAGTATTAACTCCTTCAGCAGCTCCAAGGTAGCCCAGATGTCTGCAGGAAGATGCCAGAATTCCCACAGTAGACTGAATCCAGCCTGAAGGAGGGAAAAGCATGCACTGTAGGAAGTGTGACTAGCAGGACCAGGCCAGATCTCCAGCAGGGTACACCGTACTGGTTTTTACATTGACCTTTCTGTCTCTAACTTCCAGTATTCAGGGCACTTGGTATGTGCTAGGATGTTGCATACAACTGGACACATTGGAAAGAGTCATGCCTCTTTCTTTCAGTTAGCTTTCTAGTTTATTTCTATTTGAACTCCATGGCTAAAAACAAAACGCTCCATTTGCAGTAATACTCCAGTTCAGCACCAAAAGACTTCAAGGCTGACAGGTCAGGTTCTTCCTGCTGACAGAACCTTCCACCAAAGAGCTGCAACTGCTGCTGAATAGCAAATACCAATCTGTATTCAGTTAATGCAAAAGCTCTTTGGTAAACTGTTTTCTGAGTGCATCCCAAAGTCTTCCCAGTAACACACTCAAGCAGGAATCACACAGGAACATAAAAAGCTGCCATGGTTTTAGCACCTTATGGGGTATATGTACATCAGGTCCCTGATATTTCAATCAAACCCTCATGAACTGGAGGCTCTTAAGTATTGAGCAAGAGGGGAAAATCAATTAATCAAATCCAATTTCTTGGCTAGCAACATCAGCTGCCTCTTCCTACTCCCAGGGGATGAGGGGGCAGCAATGCCAGCTGCTCACTCTCACTCCTGAAACATAGGGCCAGGGTTGGATGAACAGGACATGCCAGTCCCTCCAGCGTCGCCTCTCCCTGCTCCCAGTGGGCACATAATGCAACTGGATGTTACCAGTGAACCAAGCACATTTTTTTTTTTTTAGTCTTTTGTTTCCTGTCCATTGTCCACAGGGAAAGTGCCCGCCCGCCCACACCCCACCCTCTGCCCCGGCTGCCTGTGCTTCTCACACAATCTCTGCTTTGTTTATTGGCACATAAATATTTACTATTCAAAGCCAGTATGGTTCCCAGCACAAACAGAAAGGAATATTCCTGAGAGAGTTCAGGGTCTTTACCATATGGATCAGGGGCTCTACTCCCCATGCAGAGTCACACACATTGGGCTGAGGGTCATTTGGTCAGGGAGGAGCTGGAACAGGGCAGCAAGGAAAAGATCCCACAAATAAATAGTTGGGTAGAGAATGTGCCAAATATTACAGTTCAGCCTAGCTCACTGAAAGACTGATGCAAGCCTGTGTGACCCCTGCTCAGCTCTGTGAATCTTGATTGATTTCCTGACATTCCTTGTCTCCCTGCATTACTTCTGATCACAAATCACAGAAAGACTGCTATATTCTCTCAGGCTGCTAACAAAAACTGCAGGCTGCTAAGTGCCCTGTTGAAGAAGGGGAGTCCCAGCCCCAGCACATGGGAAAACACTGCTGCATCTTTACCATTTCGCACAGCAACATACATGCTTTGCACAGCGACAGCACATACAGGAGTTAGCACAGCATCACAGGACAGGACACCAAACCAATGAATCCAGCTAGGATCTGGACTCCACCAAAAGACAACACAGACATAATCACCTTCTAAACATAGGCTTTATTTTAGATTCTCTACAGTGGTTCTGTTCCTACCTGCATTCAAGTGTGCCCTTTACCCTCTCACAGTCCACCTCAATTACTATTAGTGAATATCACTGATCTTCAGTCTTCACAGCAATATAATCTTCCTCTCTCTCTCTCCCCACATCCTTCTCTCTCCCTCCCTACTGAATAAGAGCCCCAAATGATGTCAACAACAAGTTTTGGAGAAGCCTGAGCTAAGAAAAATAAAAGGTTGTGTCTGAATTGCACAGACTGATGTTAAAATCCTTTCTCTGAAACCCTAGTAAATATACTGGGGCTGGGGAAGTTGCAGCCATCTTTCGTCCTTCCCTGGGCTCTCTTGGTTAAGCATGCTAACACGAAGATGGGGGACAGGCATCCCTGGCCCAAGCAAGACTGTGGCTGGATCCAGCTGTCTTCTACATTGCATCTGGGACATTGGAAAGGACAGTTTTGGCATTCTCCATTCTAGAAAAGGTGACCAGCACCAAATCACAATTGCAGGAGCTAAGAGAGCCTAAATATTGCAAGAAAGGAAGATGTCAGAGTGCTTAGTCAGTAGCATTCTGTTGCCGGAAAAGGTCTCTGCTGGCTGCAGCCAATATACCCCAATACACACTATCCAGATTATGAGAAATACTTCCTCGTTCCTGAGGAACTGTTCCCTGAAGGGACTCATCCCACAGGGTGAGACAAAGGGAAAAAACAACTGTCCCTATTTAACCGAGGTGACTCAAGACACCAACTGACTTCTTGCACAGTCACCCCAGGAGTCCTCACTGGACCAGGACTCTTACTCAACGCTCTTGAGTTCCAGGCCAGTGTCTCAACTGCAAGATAACCCATCTCCCAGCTACAGCTGGTGGGAAAAGAAATGCATGTGGAAGGGAATGCTGGCTGAGAATAGAATCTATTACCTGCAAACCTGAAATCATCTTCTTCGCTTCCTCCATTTCCTTCTCCAAATGGTCCTGTTGTTCCAAAAGCTGCTCCTCCCATGAATTCTCCAAATATGACCCAGAGTTCCCTGCTTGCCACTCAGGCCGGAAATGAGATTCTGTCTCTTCTGGAAGAGAGAGCAGCTGAATGTGGTCATGACAGATAGAGGAGTCCAGAAAAGACTTGCAGCACACAATAGTTGCCTGCTGTCCACACTAGCTATCACTAACAAACCAGCATGTCTTCTAGCCGGTATCAAGGAAGCTGCTACAGGTGTGACATCTTGTCTAATCTCGAGGATATATGCCTCATTTTTTATGCAAAGGAAGTTTTCCTGCATACACACATATTAAAGATAAGCATCCTTCCCCTTTGTTAACTTTGCTGCATCTGATTCCCCAGTACTGGGGATTTCAAAGCACATCATAGGGGACAATGCACTGCACTGTTTGTGGTAGAAAATACCTAAGGGGAGAAAAGCAACTGTGGGATTTGAAAAGCATGTCTTAGTGTTAGAGGGTGCGCCAAGGACCCACTGGAGGCAACATTAAACAGTATTTCTACTTGTCAAATAACATGGCTTTCTCAAGGCAGACAACACACCTAATTCTGAAAAAGACTTTTCTCTTAATACAAAGTTTAATAGCCTTGCATGCCTTTTCTGATCCCCACAGCATAACCTGGATCACTGGTTAACCATCATTCACTGGCTGGCCCAGGAATGTAGATTTTCTTTTCTTCCCTAAGAAGGGATGAGGTTTGATGAGGAATAATCATAGCAGTGCTTGTTAGCTAGCTGACCAAAACTGAAATTGGCCAATGCAAGCTGCTGTGCATCTGTAGACATGCATCTGCAATATCCTTCTGTATGGGCAGCAAGCAGACACAGTACTGCTAAGAATTTAAGGAAGAGCCGCAGCTTGCCAGCTACTTCAGCTGCTGAGATAGTCTGTCAAATACTTTCGGAGGAGAACTAAAGCAGGACTACACTGGCTGAGGCAGCAAAGCACTTCCTAGGAGAGCTTCTCTGTCATTTGCTCTTGGGATGGATGCTAACCAGAAAGAGTTATTATTAGGCTGCATTCCTGAGAAGGAAAACAAACAAACAAACAAATCACTTCAGGAACTTCTTTGAAAACCTTTCCTTCAATCTGCATGAAAATTTTCAGTGTAAACTGACTATATCACAGGGCATTTGTGGCAATACAGAAATGACTTCTCAATGAAAACACCAGGACAATACTACAACTGTTCAATTCCTTGCAGAGAGCCACCTGACCTATGTACGGATGTGCTGTAAACACAGACCCTTACACAAAGTCAAATTATACATCATGGGCTTGACAAGCTCACATGGACTCTTTCTTCAAGGGAATTTTAAGTGGTTTTTTTCAACATGGCCTAATGAGGCTGTGATGAAAGTATTCACCCTACAGTGAAAATTATATATGATCCTTAATACTTCTCCAGTGCTTTTTATTTCCCAAGCATTATTTTGCAAGCCTCACAGACATTGCCATATTATGGCATGATTGTAGTGTTAAAAGTTTTGGGATTTAGTTTTACGTGAACAGATACTCAGCATCACATTCTCTACATACATTTCAGTCACTGGGGAACTTTTCAGCAAGTTTGTGATACAAACAAATCCCAATGAAAATGTAAGCTGTAAAGCATTATCTGCAAGGTACCTGTTTTAGTTTCTGTTTCTTCAGTGTGGATTATCACAAGTCTTTCCTTCTCCTGTGATGGGGCTACAGTAGATTCACTCTTTGCACTATGGATAGGACTGGGCGATGTAAGACTGCAGAGGACAGGAGAAACAGTTACTTCTAGTGCTGATCAACATCATCCTCATCCAAGATAAAAGTGAATACACAAGCAGGCTTGTTGAAACCAAGAATTGTCTGCATAGTAGAGAAGCCATTAACAAACCAAACTGGGCATGTAACTTTTCCAGCACTCTACAGTGTCATAGCAGGCTAACTGACAAGTAGCACAATATGTTTCTTCATTTTCCTTAACAGAATGCAAGTTTGAGATTGCCACCACAGAATTCACATACACTCACACAGTGGTAAGACCACACTCTACTAAAGGTCTGCTCAGAAACAATTTACTGCGAGCCTTATGTTCATATTGCAAGCTGAACAAAAAGCCACCCTGGCTTGCTTCATCTCTTGTTCCTGCTTTCAAAAGTGCCACTTCACTAACTTGAAATTCCAAGGGCAAAATATTTTTGAAAGTCAGATACCACTCACTCATATCCTTACGTTAAAACTTCTTGAAAGTACCCACATATTTTCACTGGAGCCATGTCAGCTGACTGTGAGGTTCAAGCAATCTTTTTTCAGAAATTCTCCCTAAATGTATCACCCAGACAACATCAAAAGGTGGCTGAAGCTCACTGACCCATTCCATGTACCTCTAAAGTCACAGGAACTAATCCTTGCAAGTGTGAGAAGGAGTTAATTTTTCACCCTCCCCAACACAGAAACAAAGGACAGAGAAATAAAAGAAAAACACTGCATCTTCTGCATCTTCCTGGCACTCCTGCTACATATTCCACAGCACTCTCTCAGAATCTTGCAATAGAGATGGAAATGACTTGCTAGCAGCTCCCACAGCCAGTGCTGGTCTACTTCTCATTTGTATTACAGACCTTCAAGCAGTCTAGTTTTAATGGTCCAGACTAAATGGACTTTCACCATGTTAAAGAAAAAGATGAATGCAACTTACCAAGTGAAAGAATAACCAACTTCTGATGGGGATCTCTAACAGCTACAGCACCTGTTCTTTCCTGCTCAAACAGGGTGTGTATGATTGTTAAAGGGGCCCAGACCACCTGACTTTGCTCAAGGATTTACCTTCAGGAAGGCTAACTCCATTACAGCAATCCCTGATTAGGCACATTTTGTATACAACGTCTGTAACCAGCCCCCTGCTCCTGCTTGTCACTGAATGGGTGCAGAGCATAAAATTAAAATAATTGTTTGGGAGCCCAGAGAGTACTATTGGGTTTGCATTATATAATAAGGGTCAGAGGACAGGATGAAACTTTTAAACAGCACAGGTACAAACAGGAAGCCCAGCTGATCCAACATGTCCAGTAACTCTGAGAGGGATTTTACTTCCTTCTAGGAATAGATCTTGATATTCCCCCTGCATATTCTCAGCTGATACTCTGAATATGCCATCATCCTCATAAGGCCACTGAGAAGTACATTGCTGATTCTCATCCAGGCAAAAGATGAAAGAATGAAAGCTGTCCTAGAAGAACAATATTAGCAACTGCTCAGTGAGAAGGCAGTGAAACTGAGGGATGGGCAAAAGCAGGGAACTGGAAAGAATGAGGAGGACAAAACCCAAGAGGATACAGAGCCTGGAAATAACATTCCCCTCTTCCAAAGTGCTCCTCTTGGCACTGGATCCACAGCCCAAAGCAAATACAAAGGATCCCAGCTGGGGCAGTGGAGTGGCGTTAAGTGGTCACTACAGGTCTCCACAACATAGACAGTTTTACAGATAATTGCTTAGGCATTCCTATGTCCACAGTCCCCTTTCCAGGCAGTTCCCTATTTTAAAAGGCCAGTGGGTTCACATGGCATCAGTGACAACCCCTCAAACAATGCCAAACAGTGAAAGAACCACTGAGATGCACTCAGATGAAGCAGTAACACAGGTCAGGTTGCCTCATACATTATGCCATCAAGTTAATGCTGGAAACATTTCTACAGTTTTTGTATCAGTCACCAAACCCATTAGAGTATGAAATATCCACTGATGTAATTTGTTCTTTAAAGTACATAACAATTTGTGATTAAAGCATGCAGAAATAACTGCTGGAAAATTAAAGCTATTTAAGACAGATTTATGATACAAACTGTTCCACTCTATTCCTTTTGCCAGTTGGTTTCTTAACCCATATCCTTTCTCCACCAAGTCCCAGAGTTGCCAGTGCCTGACTTTAGGGCAACAGCCCCAGTGATAAGTCTGAATTCTCATAATTTTAATAACCACCCCATCCCTGCTGTTTCAAATGACAATGGCAACAATCGCTCACCATTTGACCTGCTTCCCTCCCATGATCCCACTTTAACCTTTCGCCTCACAGAATCTGTTTCCCGGGGAGCCTCAGGATTCTGGCTACAGACATGCCTTGTCCCTTCACATGCTCAGAATTCAGTGCAGAAGACACCAGCTCCTGTTAAACTACTGGAGAAATATTTGCAAACCAGACCGCTTCACATTAGCTGAAAGATTCACAGCAGAAAAAAAAAAAAAAACCTCAGGGTCTTCGCAAGAAACCGTCGGATGGCAGATTAGCAGCCCACACACACGTATTTGATTCCAGAGTCAGGGAATTCTGCAGTCTGGGTTTTGCTTTTGCTGTTTTTCCTCTCAGGTTATTTGTCTTTTGCTGCTGCATCTTGGTCAGCTGCACACCCAGTTGTTTTCATCACAAGGACTGTGATCTGGATTGCCAGTGGTTCTCATCCCATTCTACCCTCTTCAGACTCCAAGCACCTGCTGCAGATGCCAACAAACAGCCAGGAGAAGGTGCTCCTGCAAGCAGTAGGTTCCCTGCTCTTCTAGGCTTGGATGCGATCTCAGAAGACGGCACGGAGCAGCACTTCCCAGCCCTATGCACGGCGTCCTCTTCCTCGCTATCTCCAGCTCCCTCTCCCTCCTGCTGTCACACAGGCTGTGCAAGGCAGAGCCTTTTCTCTGAGATGCCTGGCTCAGAGTGGGGGAGGGAAGGCTGGTGGAAGGGGAGGGGAAAGGAAGATGGATGGGTGAGGGGCTCAGTGGCCTGGGAATCCATCTGATTTTGGCAAATTTTCCATGAATCATTTCAATTGCCTTTGCTTATTAGAGCTTTTGTCTCTGGGAATTCTGTTATTCAGGCTGTCAGCTTTCTTACTGAAGAGTTAATGCAGAAATGAGCTGATGCTAGGCAGGGGATGCTGCCCTGGGACAGACATGACAGCAGCACAATTAGATGGAGGGGGGTGGCTGCAGTTAATAATCACACCTCTCACTAATAAAAAAAGTGGCTTTTTTCTCCCAGCCAGGTGTCATAACCAAGCTAGTACATTTCTCTCTCAAAGGAAAGAGAAACAAGTATCTTGTTTTCATCATGAAGCCTGCTGTCAGCAGAAGACATCCCCAGGAGCTGGAGGTCAGATTGCTCCCAATTTCTTTGGGTAGATCACCACTTATGTAAAGGTTCTCACCATATTATGTCCTATCAGCAATAATATCACCATTACCATATGGTAAGAGAACTCATGACATTATGGGGAAAACCAAAAAACACAAGACAAAGTGATTGAGGATGTGCAGAGAAATTTTCACTCACCACCAAAATACAGCCACATACGACCAAACAGCAGTTGTCTGACTACAGAAGAGTACGCATAAAATACTACAGCTATCTTAAACTGAAGAATGAGTGGAGGGACCAGTATGTTTCATTCGCTGTCCTACTGAGATCATGGTTCAAGAGTCAACACCAAAGTCCTGTGACATTAGCCATGAAATCCTGTTGCCCATACCAGAATTTTTACATCCCCCCTGGCACGACAGCTTCAACAGTACACTCTCTACTGACATCATGTGGAAGCAGTGGTCCAATACTGCCTCACATGGAGTTCCCACACTCTTCCAAACGTGTATGTCTGTATTTATAAGCACAACCTCACAATGATACACAGCAAATTTTGGTGATAAATAGAAACTACTGTGGTTTTTTCTCCTCTGTTGGGCCAAGAGACCTTAATTCTCAGGTACACAGAGGCCTCTTTGTACTATGGAGCACCAAAAGTGGCCTGAGAAATCCTGTGGAGACATCCTGCCTGCTGAGAAACTGTCAGTGACAATCTGTCCTAGGAAAATGAACCTCCTCACTCCTGCACAAACTGGGGGGGGGCATGGGGAAAGGGGGGGCTAGTTGAGACACTCTTAAGGAGCAGCCCATGCAGGACAAGGATACAACAAAGCAGAGTTGGGGCTTACATTGGGGATAGGAAACTATGAATGAGAGCTGCAGCTATGACCATGCAGCTCTGCCCTCCTAGTCTGTTCCAGAAGAGATTAAATGGAGCAAAGCATTGTATCCAGAGGGAGATCTGATATGTTCAGTCACACAGTCCTTTGTCTTCAAGCTAGTTTCTTGTTCTCTGGGGAAAAAGGGAAAGGCTGTCCTTTACTATGAAGCTATCCATGCTGGATCAGCTCCCCCACTGTAGTACAGTTTTAATTTGAAAGCCCCTTCAGCTACACTGTTGCTCCTATATCCATGGAAACAAACAGTACAGCCATGTGTCTTCCCTCTCCCCACCACTGCTCAAGTAAATTCGGGCAGGAGTTTTGACTTCTGCCCCAAAGCAAAGCGTAGTAAGAAGAGCTTGTAAGGCACCAGTGTAATGTGTTACAACTGGCACGTGCTGCTGAGGTTCACAGCTGCAAGTTTGTGGCACCTCCTATTGGAAATGTATTGTATTCTGCCATTCTAACCAATCCTGTCTTCTACAGGTTCCATTTCCTTAGAAAGCCTCCACTTGCACCAGCTTGACCTTGCCTAACTTGTGCAGTCAAGAACCCCACTCAAGGCTGCAGGCTGTTTACAGTAGAGAGCACATACTTCTCAGGATCCAAGACCTACTCCAAAGGGGAAAGTCACCTCCAATGGAAACCACACTGAACTCTGACTTTCAGGTTTCACAGCAGTATGCAGGAGATTTTTCAGTAAAATAATTAAATGCTGCACTTTAGACTGAAGGTGAAAGTCTGGGGGATGGAAGGGTAAATTAAGTAACTGTAAATCTAGAGACAGTTAAAGGTGATGGATGAGGGTGCAATGGCAATGAAGACACAGCTGCAGATCCCCCTGGGACCATATATCTGGATTAGACTTGTGTGTCCCTGCAACTGCTGTTCAAATCTACATGCCCTTTCATCTCCATCTCTCTGCAGGGCATGAGGTTTGTCGGTTTAAGTTCCTTTCCTCCACATCTTCTCCATCAGCTCTGAAATATTCATCCCTTGCACCCCAGCTACTCTGCCCCTTCCCTTCTGTGAAGCAGGCTACAAACTCCATTTCAGCACCCGTCATGTCAGTACTCCCTCAAAAGGCTCCACCTGTACATTCAGGTTCCCAGTAAAATCTTTAGCTGTGTCTTTCCTAATCCTATTCCCCTGGTCTCACTGAGGGACACTGCAGAGCTTTAGACAACTGTAACTCAGAAGTTCCTAGCTCTTATCTATGCGATCACACCATGAATGAGATCAATTTTATCTGTGAGAGAAATGGCAGTAAACCACTGCTTCATGTTGGTTCTTGAGGCTTTATTCTCCAGATCAGGCAGGAGACTAGATGCTGGGAATCCTCTTTTCTATCAGAGCTAACAAGATCATAGTGATAAGAAATGGCACTTTAGGGAATGTCAGACAAAGGACCACGAAGGGACACATCTTGGCAATAAAGGTCATTACCTGGAAGAGTGGGATTCCAATGGCATGTTCTGCTGCCCTTCATACTGCTGCACCAGTGCCCGGACACTCCAGTAGGGGTTTTCAATCTCCTCATCCATGCTGCTATTTCTGGAGATAATAATCATAGAATGAGGGAAGCCTCACCTGACAGGAGCAGAAATTCTTCTTGTCTCCAAGAAGGAGCATAGGAAAGCTAGTGAAAGGAAGGTTAAGAAGGAGGGGACAGCTACAAATCTGCCAATTAAGAAAATTCTTGTATCAGGGAGCTCCATCCCATCTTCTTGGTGTGAGGGAAACACGGGCAAACATGCCCTCCCCTTTTAAACTCACCCCCAATTCTGTAACTAGAAAACTACAAAAGCTCTGAGAAGGCAAGGAAAAGAACAGAATTTGCAAAGAGCACAAGGAATAGCTTTTCTGAAGAACTCCTGGCCCAAGGCCTTTGCAAGAGAAACCTTTAACATTTAATTTTTCAACAAAATATACCATTTCAACCTCATTTCCAAACTGCTTTTTGGGTACTCCCTTGAGCCAATATAATATGGGCAAATGACCTTCAGCTGTGTAAGTTAAACCCTCAACAGACCACCATCTGGCTTCCACTTAAATGCCATTACTATTATTATAATCCACATAGCACCTTTTGCAAGCGTTAAATGTGCTTTTCAGAATTACACATTCCTTCTGTACATGGATCATCTCCCTTCATTATCACCAGAACTCCTCTGCTTACATAGTAGGCTGCATCAGCTGGTTAACAGGACACAACACTTGGCATCTCCCTATATAGCAATAAGCATAACACTGGAGTGAACAGCAATGTAGAAGACAGAATGGACTTGGACAGCAGGCTCAATGCCTCAATTCTGGAAGTAACTGCCCCCAGATCTGTAACCAGCACCTGTAGTTAAGACCTTACTTTTGTTTCACTTGGAATGAGAATGTCTCCAAGTAGACAGCACCAAGAAAGGGCACTGTGCTCAGCATGAAATGCAGAAAATGAGGCAGCAGAGTTCCCTCTGGCTTGGCCATAAAGCACTGTTCTTTTCCATTGAGATAACAGAGATCCAGCATTTATTTTGCTGTAAAACCTGAAAAGAACCTGGGACACCTGCAGTCTTCATCACAGGGCAGCCAGTCTAGGTCAGTACTCCCCTTTGTTAGGCCACTATTTATTTAGGTTTCAGTGAGACAGCAGCAGTTTGTCTCTATTTGTTTGCACAACAGGAGAGCTACCTCACACCAGGAATTGTCAGGATAAAGAAGCATCCATTTTAAAAGAAATTGTGTCCATCTTCCAGCATGACCTGACCTCACATAACCAGGGAAAACTCATTACCTCTGTCTGTGCCAGAAAACATCCCGGCCGGATTGCAAGACATCTTGGCGAACATCTGCCAGAGCAGCCACCGCCCCTTGGGCCACTGCAGCAGCTGAGCGAGGCCTGTGACTGGCAGACGATGCTGACAAGCTCTTCCCCACCATGCCAGCAGGGCTCTGATTCATTGCTCTCCCGGAGCCTGGTTTGAAATGAGCAGCTAAGGCCAGGATCAGCCTCATGATAGATTTCAAGTTCCCATCAACAATATCTGCAAAATGCACATAAAGCCAAGGATAATGCCATTAACATGAAGTCCGACCAGAGCTGTATCTGGCCAACAAGCATGAATATAATTAAACCCAATGGGACCATGCCAGTAAATTAGGACTATGCAAAAAGGACTGCATTACAGCACTGATGCTTAGCTCTGCTTGTTTTGTACAGAGCAGCAAACTGACTGCCACCTACAGATCTAAAGTTTAAATGCTTTGAACAGACCTGAGCCTTCCCTCTATGGCCATTTCCAGCTAACAATCCAGTAGGTTACATGACAGCACATGATAATTACTGAATGCTCACTGGAAAAGTACAGCAGTTACTGAAGACTACCACTGTACTAGCAGTCATTTCAATTAGCACATGGAATTTGCATTCTTTTTTTTAATACTAAAGACCAGAGAATAGCAATGTATTTCTTTAGCAATAGCATCCTGTACCATAAACTGTTTGTACCACCTTGCAAATGTTAGCTAGTCAGTTTTAATAATATCATACTAGGCATTTCCCCCAGCATACAAACTAGCTCAAAACATGCTGGTCTCAAGTCCACTGCAAAGATCAGCCATTCTTTCAGACTAGAATTTCTCAAAACAATTTAGTAAGCTGAGACACTCAAAGTCCACTAGAATAATAGGAATAGGGTTCCCAAATATCAGAGGCAGCCTACAAAAAAAATCATAACTGCTGGAGGCATGAAGGCTGGTTATTACTTGCTTTAGTATCTGACAAATTAGAAATAGCCACAATAAGTCACAGTGACTGTTACCTCCACATCACTCATGGAGGACATGAAGCCAGAAGTTTGTATGAATCATTCGAAGTCGTAGAATGAGTCAATGTCAGAACTATGACTGGAGCTCTGGAGCACGTGTCCCAGAGTCGTGCCTGTATCCTAGCCTATGACCACATGATATCATTTCATTGCATATCCAGGTTGATACCTTTGCTTATGTAAGACTTTTACCAACACTGCTATAATTTCTATAGTCATGAGCTCATAAGACAACTTGTGACATTACTGAAAGAAACAGTACAGCCTCCAATCTGCCAGGGGCAGTACTGTGGGAACAGTACTCATTATTCTATATTTAAATTCTAAGCCTCTCACCAAGGCCTATAAACCAACAGCTTGTACTCTTCTGCTAACAACAAGGGTCATGCACTCCATGTAGTCCATCTCAGCATTCTTCCCCATTCTCATCTGAAGGGCCACAGATAATCAGAATTGTATCCCCTCCCAGTACAGTCAGCAAGCAGTAAGGATCAGGGCCCGTCTTCTACCCCCTAGATCTACACATACACACCAGCAATCCTTGTGATATCTGACTAAACCATGCCATAGACTTGTGATTTTGCATATTGGGTCTCCCTATTTACAGGCCATGCGAAACAGTATCACAGGCTTCCAACGGACCAGAAATACTTTTCCCATGTCTCATTTCACAGTAGCAGGTTTAGATGTCCTTTTAGTGAAAGATTCTGAGTCTGTATTCCTCATTACACCATCACTTGATCTTCTGACTGCTCAATAGCAGGAGAAAAGGCACTTTTGTTTCTGTGCACTGTGCTGCTACCAAAAGCAGTCAAGAACGCAGTATCATTCAACCCCAAACCTGTTACTAAACTACAGGAGGAAAAAAACCCAAACTCCCCCACAAACCAATACATTACCCGTTTGATATGAAACAAAGACAGAAACAGGCCTTCAATGGACAGAATCATCTGTGGCAACTGCCAGGGGCACATACCTTTTGCTGATGTCTGATGCATGCGGATCTTTTTTGATGCCACGAACTGTAAGACTTTCTCCACATTTTCCCTCATCTCCTGCTGGCTGGTGGGGTTGACCTGAATGCCATTCAACTTCTCACCAGCTACAGGAGTGAAAAAACTTTATTAGAGAAGAACTGAACCACTTGGTGCTGTCACAGGAATTGCTATAGGTGTCAGGCCTGATCTTATGTCTTGTCTGGGTACTTCAAGAGGCATGCATGGCTTCTTGTCCTGCTTCTAAGGTATCCAGTACCGGGAATAAACTAGGCTGGAGACTGTATTGGGTTTGCGTGGCAAGGTTTTGGCAGCAGGGAGGGCTACAGGGGTGGCTTCTGTGAGAAGATGCCAGAAGCTTCCCCCATGTCTGACACAGCCAATGCCAGCCGGCTCCAAGACAGACCCACCACTGGCCAAGGCTGAGCCAATCAGCGATGTTGGCAGCGCCTCTGTGATAACGTATTTTAGAAGGGGTAAAAACTGCTGCACAACAGCAGCCAGGAGAGAGGAGTGAGACTATGTGAGAGGAACAACTATGCAGACACCAAGGTCAGTGAAGGAGGTGGAGAAGGTACTCCAGGCACCAGAGCAGAGGCTCCCCTGCAGCCTGTGGTGAAGACCATGGTGAAGCAGCCCATGGAGGTGCATGGTGGAGCAGATATCCACCTGCAGCCCATGGAGGACCCCACACCAGAGCAGGTGGATGTGCCCCAAAGGAGGCTGTGACCCCATGGAGACCCCACACTGGAGCAGGCTCCTGGCAGGACCTGTGGAGAGAGGAGCCCACGCTGGAGCAGGTTTGCTGGCGGGACCTGTGACCCCATGGGGGACCCATGCTGGAGCAGTCTGTTCCTGAAGGACTGCAGCCTGTGGAAAGGACCTGTGCTGGAGCAGTTTGTGAAGAACTGCAGCCTGTGGGAAGGACCCGTGTTGGAGAACTTCATGGAGGACTGTCTCCCATGTGTGGGACCTCACTCTGGAGCAGGGGAAGAGTGCGAGGAGGAAGGAGCACCAGAGACAATGCGTAATGAACTAACTGTTGCACAGGGGGAGGAGGTAGAGAATTTGGGGGTGAAGTTGAGCCCAGGAAGAAGGGAGGATCTCAGCAAGCAGATCACTCTTCCAAAAATGCCACACACTAACACCATTCCTCTACAAGGTAAATCCTTTCATAACTCCATTCCAGCCTTGTGGGAGTTAATATGGTCCCTGACAAGTTTTAGCACATCTGTTGTAACCGTCTGCTATAACATAAGGACTTTAATAGAATCACATTTATGATTTGCTTTATGACTGTTTTCTTTTAAAGTCACTCCTTCCCACCCCTCCCTGCAAGCTCTGACACAGTCATTAATATCTGCCAGTATGCCTGACAGATGTCAGAGCCAAGACCAGCCTCTTCTACACAAGATCAACAACTGCAAGATGAAAAATAGTGCCATATGGCATTACTGACCTACAATCTCAATGAGCAAAGCAAGAATGACTCCATCTCGGAGATCTTGTCTCAGGTCTTGGACTGGCTTTATTGTTGGCTGCTTCTTCAGCTGGGAATTCACCCAGGCCACATACGCCTGTAGTTGTTGCTGAAAACAGAAAACAAAATGTTTGCATGTCATTGCAGTTTCGGGGGGAAGTTGCATAGCTCTCACTTTTCTCTTTCATCTTCACAGATCTCACTGTCTTTGGCCTTGAAAACAAACACCAATGGTTTCATCTCAAAGCCTGCTGAGCCCTAACTGACATCACTGCACACTGTGGTGCAGCTCACTCCACGCCAGGAGAGGAAGAGCAAGCAGGCAGCAGGACAGGACTCATGATCTAAGCACAGCTGAGAAGAGCGCTTTACATTACATTTAATCTAGGTTGGTGCCAAACCAATGCTGTCACCCCCTCATTTCTGGTGCCAGAATTGGTTCACTCACAGCATTTAGTGTCCCATCCACACTATTTTCTTCCATATATCAAAGTAAAAAACCCACAATGCAGAAGCAAGAAACCCTGTGTTATTTTCCATTAAACTATGCCATCTACCAAAAGAAACAACCAGGATAGATTTCCTGGAAGAGGCAACAGCCTCCCTCCTTAACATGCCCAGCATGGCTCATTTGCAACAGTTCACGCAACTGGAAAGAGACACCCTGTTGTACAGCCCCCTTCCTCCATTTCCTTGGAGCTGCATCAGCATTTGTAATGGCCCAATTTCTATTTCTGCACATGTGGAAGCTGGCTTGCCACAGCACTTAACACCTGCAAGACCTGAGAGCAAGGAGCACTGCCTTTCCAGCAGGTCACACTGAATGGAAGACCAGGGAAATTGAAACTCAGGCTTCCGGTCTGTGTGAGAACCCATCTGGCATAAGTGACTGAGATGCAAAGAGCAGATTCCCCTTTCCATCCCCCTCTCAGTAGCAGTTCCATAGCTAGCAGGAGCACTGGTAACACTGAAATCCCTTTGGGCAGGGTTGGTGTGGTACATGGAGGGTAAACAAACTGATCCATTTATGGGATTACCTCCCTTTTCACTAAGCTTCCCATTATTCTGCCAATGCAGCAGGTTTCAAGTCTCCATTCCATATTATCTCAGCAATGTGAGTCAGAGTTTATGCTTTTACAGCCCATCGAAGTCACAATCTGATCACAGCTTCACTCTTAATTATCCTGACATAGGAAATCCAACTTTAGTCACACCATGGTTCGGTCTGCTGGTTCAGAAAGGTGACTGGACCTGTATTCAATCAGTTCTGCTCACTCAGCAGAGAGCTGGAGAGCAGAATAGAGGAGATGAGCTTGGGGAACTGCCTGATGGCTTTTGAAAAAAGGAAGCAGAAGTGGCAGGTCTGATGCATGCTTGCTGGAACAGACTTAGCCTGTCATGTGGATTGGATCTGCATGCTCTTCCTCGGCTCTAATGGCAATGATGAATGTCAGTTTTGCCTGCCCAATTTCAGAGGTCTTTATTTTCTACTTAATGCGACTGGGCACTGTGGAAAATCAACGAGCCTTGACCTTCTCTCTCTCTCTTGCACAAGTTGATGATCCTGTGCTGATTTTCAGAATGGCAGTGGTAACTCTTGCCAGCTGCAAAAAGCACCCCCACCTCTTGCAATTGTATTTTAACTGATCATGTGGGCACTGAGGTTCAGTCTCACAACAGTCTAATGCCAGAGCCAGAGCCACCACAAGCCTTCTATTACACAGATTCAATAAAGCTTTAATTTATTCAAACAAGTACCAGAGAAAAGAGGTAGGTTTGTTTATAGTAATATGGCATCATCATAGAAATATCTAGATTCATAAGTAAAGATGTACCGAATAGGGTTGCAGCATGAAAACTGCATCTGAAGTCCAGGTAATTTAGGGAAATAATCTTATCACAGTAGTGTTTACTACCTTGTTGTCATTTTTCAAATCATTTTACAAAGTTCTAAACTGTTACCTTGTACTAATTCCACAAGGGCACAGACCCTTCCAGCCTACAGAAAATTTGCCATTTTTATAGGAGTCTATATGGTTCTTCCATTCAGACACTTCTGTTTTCACTTGAAGGAAAAACAGATCCTTTCGCTAAGCAGTTTGTTTTCTATTTTTTCTCTGAACATTCTTCATGCATTCATAAGAAAGCATTTTTGGCAAACTTTTAGTCTCTCTCTCTTAAAAGCATGAGAAGGTTGACATTGTTATTCTTAGGAAAAAAAAAAGTAACTCCTAAATCCCAGCACATTTACATTTTAAACAATGATTATTAAAAGGAGGATTTTGAGGCAATGGAATATGGATGTCACCATTACAAAGTCACTTCATACCAGTAGCTGCTGTAATACTGCAGACTTACATTTCATTAGCAGACTTACTTTGTTGTTTGGTTTTGCTTCCCCCCACCCCCCCCACTAAAGCATAAGTTTTTCCTGCAGAAGTTCCGACAGTTGGAGTGATCAGCATTTCCTGATTTTGTATCCAAAACCTAGAATAACTAATGACTTTAGCAAGAGACTTGGATTGCTGTAAAGCTAAAAACCCCGGGAGTAAGCTGTTACTTCTGACAGCTGAGGTGAGCGGGTGACTGAACTTACAAAGAAAATAACAGATACAAAAGTTTAGTGACCCAAGAATGGCAAAGTGGTGTTAATGCATGAAGGGACAAAGCCCCCAAGCTGCTCAGCAGAAATCCCAATAGCAATTTTTAAGCTAGTGAGTCAAAAATGCTTTGCTTCACCACTCTCTGTGGCTTCCCCATCAGCTGGCATGAACTGGGCAGTAACAAGCACATTGTGGGCCATACCTTAAAGCCCTACACCTCCAACACAAGCACAAAGGCCTTGATCCACAGCCACAGATTCAGTTTAATGAATCAGACCCACAAACAAAGTAAAACACTTGTTTCACTCCCTCAGAATTCCATTTGTTTCAAAACCCAAGACAGCTATCTCAATTCACAACAGAACAGCCCTAAGTACTACCACAGCAATATGATCTGCTACTTGGATGGACATCATTCATGGCATCTATTCTGGAAAGTACTCCAGGTATCAACTTCCAGCACAGAGAAAACAAAGATTTGCTAGGATGTATTCTGCCATAAGAACAGCAGCTCTACACAGCCTATTCCACCCCACAAAAATGCTCCCTAGCCTCTGCTTGTCACTTGTCCACAGAAATACACCAAAACCACACGCTCCATCACCATTTGTGGCTGCAGGCATCTCAGCTCAAACGATACATGTGCCCCATCCAGTCTCACATAGGTCTCAGCTCCTCTTAGTCAACAAGATCCCAAGGAGGAGAGAAAGGAGGTTGGGAACAAACAAGGAGGTAGATGACACGTCTCAAAATTACTCCTCCTTTCCTTTTCCAAGGCTGTCTCTGCTGTGCTTTCACACTGCTTCCTGACAACAGAGTAGGCATTACATTTTGTGCCTTCTAAATAATTAGCAAAATGAGGCACTAACCCCAGAGGCAGAGCAAACAGGAGAACACAACCCAGACTGAGCAAAGGATGCAGAGTGAGCCTTTTTGCCTAGGAGGCTGGACCCAGAAGTCCCCCAAACCTGCTTAGGTACCCTGCTCTGACAGCTGTTCAAATTCTTAGCACTCCTCTTGTTTAACTTTTGTCTTTCTAGTTGAGGGGAAGACCCTGTGGAACCTATTACACCAACTCCTGTGACGCTGTAACTATGCTACTACAGCTTCCTATACAACCTCCAACCTTCACAGGATTGAACAAACCCCTAGAGATTCCCCTTGCTGGTTTATAACCTGGTATGGCTGACAGCTATATCCAAGAGCAATCACAGAGGGAACAGCTATTGTTCTCTCTAGCTCATTCTCTTCCTTCATAATAATTGAATAATTAGCTGAATAAGTCTTTCTTCAACCACTGACCACTGGGGAGTTTTCTGCTTCTCCCTGCATTTTGGCTTAAGCTTCTGTTCAGCCAAATCTTAGACTTGATGGGGCTCACACTGCTCTACTCCTGCACCAATATTTCTTTCAAAAACCAGAATTTTCAGAAGAAAAACTTATTAGCCTAGTCTAAGCTTTACTATGCAGAACACACGTTACTAGGATTATGGTGGCATTAAGCTTAATCCTATTTATGTTAACACAGCTTTGTGTTCCAAAAAAAGACCTGTACCTTGTAATGGTTAAGAGTAGCTCCCTTACCTACAGGAAGTTGGAACCCCGATTGCTTCAGCTCCTAGGCAGATCATTGTAGGGTGCTTATATACAAGTCACTCCAGAAGCCTTAGAAGACTTCACAGGGCAGGAAAGGATTTTTAAAGCAAGGTACTAGGGGCTACCTGCAGTTGTAAGGAATTTCCCAACTGGCAGGCACTTCTGCTGGTAAATTACAGGTTAGCACTTCAGTAAGCCCAACACATCTCAGAGCAGGATTTTACTGTGGATCACGTATTCAGCACATACCCTGAAGAAGTGCCTCCGACCTACTGGCTATCGGAAAACAGCCGTAGAGGTCAGGAGCATGTATCTTTGTGCTTTCAGTTGACAGCCAATGATACACAGGAGGAAAATGCTCTTCCAGGGTCAGCACATTTTTCTCAGTGGCTGTAATCCCTTACTGATAATTACAATTAAGTGTCATTATCTGGTGGAAGAAAAGCAGCAGCTCTCTTGCAAATCTGCCAGTTGTAGATGTCCTTGCTATTCTCATTTAACCAGTGCAATTCACCACCTGCTGCTTAGGGCTTGTGTTTCTCCTCTCTCAAACATCAATCAGTCCAGTCTGCCTGATAGTAAATATAGGTAGATCACAATGCTATTCTGTCCTTTATTATCAGTGTCATCTACATATACATTACGCTGTATGAGGTTAATTTTCACCTCTTCTGAGATTAGGGTATTGCACATTTTGAAGCTGGCCAAATCTTCATTCTTGGACAAACCCATTCTTTAGCAGGCAGATGCCTTCAGAGGGCCTCATCTCCTTGCTATCGTGTTACAGTAGGCTCCCATGACATTCTCGGCTTCTAGGAAGAGACTACTTTTCTGTGTTCATTTGATGAATTTGAATCTATCCTTATTGTTGGATTTAGGGAATCAGCCTGGAAGAATAATGTTTCTCATA